ATTGGGACGTTGCTTAGTCGACCCACTCGCATCACCAGAACTGGCTTGTGCAGGTGATAGGGGGGGCTTCACAGTGCTGTGCTGAGGCACTGCTGGGGCACTCTCGCGAGCGACCAACGATCGGCGGAGCCATGAGGATGTCTTTGATGTGAGCTTAGGTGAGGCCTCAGGCGAGTCTTTTCCAGAGAGTTCAGAGCCCTTGCGGCCCAACAGTCGAGACGATGAAGACTTGAGCCGTAGGGGATCAACGGCATCCTGAAAGTATTCATGCTCGAGAGCTTGTCGGGATGTAGGCCTAGCTCGGGGATCCCATAGGAGACACCATGTGACAAACTGGGCCAAACTAGCTGGCCATTGTGGCGAGGGAAGGATCGTGTCGAGCGAGTGCGGTGCCATCTTGGGAAAAGAGAAGCCTAGCTTCTGTGCCAACTTGACTCCGTCCTTCCACTCACCACCGCCAACTCGCTGACCGTTCTTGTTGACCCAGCTTCCGGGACTGCCCATGATCTCGCAAACTCTCCATACCTGATCGACCTCGTTTCCACCAGGGAACAGCGGCTTCAATGTAGCAATCTCAACAGCCATAGCGCCAACGGCCCAAATATCGACTGGTGCTGAGTAGTGGCCGGCGCGCAATAGGACCTCGGGAGCGCGGTACCACCGGGTCGAAACATAAGTAGTGTAAGGAAGCTTGGAGTGGGTTTCCCTGGCGAGTCCAAAGTCGGCAATCTTAATCGTGTATACTGGTGGCGTCGATGGCGGTGTCATCATGGCGGAGTAGCGACGGAAGGGGTGCGATGTGTCGTTTTGCTGCGATGTGGAAACGAGGATGTTCTCTGGCTTGATGTCACGGTGGAAGAACTCGCGGTCGTGAATGTGTTCCAGTCCGGACATGATCTGAAAGAGGATGCTCTTCACGCTGTGTGCATCCATGGGCTTGTGCTCGCGGGCCTTCATGAGCTGGTACAGATTACCATCCATGAACTCCATGGCAATGTGGAGCCTACGGGTGTAAGGATCCAGGAAAATGTCCAGGGCTGGTACCAGGTGAGGGTGTGGTGGTAGTGATCGCAGGAAGATGACTTCTCGTAGCTCTAAGCAGCTTGAGAATGAATCAAATGTCTTCTTCATGGTCTTGATGGCCACCTGGAAAGCGCGTCAGTCTGTGGGTCAATGTCACTGTTGTCATCGTGTACTTACTAGTGTGCCGCGGCGGGCAATGTGAGAGCCAGCAGTTCGGACGCGGGCAAGTGCGACACTGCCGAAGCTGCCGTCACCAATCTCCTTCATCACTTCATACCTCTCTTCGAGGGATGCCCAGCCGTGAGGCTGGACTTGTGACTCTGGATGCATGTTGATGTGATTATGCAGTCAGTGGATTATGTATTGGAAGATCTGTTGGTAGCAGATGCTCCTGATGGGGGAAAAAAGGACTGTAGGGTTGTTAGAAAGGAGAAGGTGAGACCATGTCACGGGTAGAGGTGAGACTGGCCTGTAGAACAAGTCCTTGGATGGTGGTGTTTGATGGCGGGACGGTTTTAGTTCATGTCATTCGAGGGGTCGAGTTTGTGGGAGTGACGAAAAGGTCCAGTAGAGGTAGAGGGGATGATGTGTCGACAAGCTGGAGGGGGAGGGGGAGTTCAGTGCGTATCGAAGGGTGAGATGCGATAGGAGGGTGTTGTAAGGGTCCAGGTTGATGCAGGTGCGGGAATGTCGAGAAAATGAGAGACGACGGTTGGGAGGACGTGTGGAGACGTGCCCGGGACCACGGTAGACGGGTAGTATTCCGTAGCTCAGGAAGTTCTAGTGAAGATGAAAGCGGAATGACTCTGTGATCATAGCTCGGCTGGCTTAATGATCGGGCTGGGAGATTGGAGCGCGCCTGTGCGTTCGGGGGAGTAGGGATGTGGATTATGGAATGTCAAGTGAAAGAGGGCGAGGTTGGCCAGGCGCAGGTGATTTGGCGGGAGTGGAGGGGGGGCGTGGTTCGAAGACACGACGGTCTAACGGGAGCGAGACGTGACGCAGCAATGGGCAGCAAGCACACGAAGACGCGCCAGACTACTCACACGTGGATGTGATTGATGGACGGGTGTGTATAATGAGAGACAGCAAGGGGTGCAGCAAATGGGCGTTAGCACGAGTCGCGAGGCTAGACCCAAGAGATTAGAGTGGAAGCGGCGCTCCGAGAGGGTTATGAGTCGTAATAATGAAGATCGCGCCGCCCAGACGGGGCAAGTGCGGTCTGCTGGGCCAGGAGCCGGTCTGTTGCTGTGGTGAGGGCGGTCTCTGCTGTGTGCGTTGGCAGCAGAGGCGGCAGATGGCGGAGAGACGCGACGGGGTGGGCTTAGCTAACGCGCGAAGCAGATGCACGGCGAGACCAGGCGGGGGATGATGGCAGAGGTATCAGTATGGCGGTCAGTCAGGGCGGGAGCAGGAGGCATGACGGCGCAGGGCTGTTGGTTTTTGAGCGAAGGGAGCGAGAGTTAGTTTAGCTGGGCACAGTGTGGCGTCTGTTTTGGGGGGGAGCCGGATGCGAGGATGAATGGCGCGAGATGAGGGCACTGGGGGGGGTGTGGGTGTGGGAGGGAGGGGTGGTGGGTGGCTGACTGTTCGACGGGATCGGGGCGAGTGGTGAAGGACGGCGCGAGGGCTGTTCCAAGCTTAGCAGAAAGGAGCGTTGGGCGCGCCGAAGCGGGCTAGCGGGGCGAGACGACATGGGGCAGGCGAAAGTGGCCGCGAAATGCTGTTTATTTCCCCCCTTTCATTGGGCCCCTGCGCGTCCTTTTCCCGACAAGTGCTGCCCAGTCACGTGCAGGCATTGCATTACTCTGTGCTGTGTGTATGAGTGCGTGTGCGTGTGCGTGTGCGTGTGTGCGCGTGTGTGAATGCATGGGGGCTGATGCGTGTCAATGTGCAGGCAGGCACTCGTACCCAGCCATCCACGCTGCCTATTTCCTATTTCCTCGCTACTTTGTGTCAGTATGCATGTACATTCACATCTAGGCCAAACTATCTAGTGCGCACCCAATACTCACTTACATGCTATCTAATAATTCACCGCACAACAAACAACCCCCGACCCCCCGCCTCATTGCCCAGCCCAGCACAAGGACAGCACAGGACAGCACAGCAATGCACAGCCCTGGCCTCACCGCAATCCCTCGCCCACCAGCATAAGCACCGTTGCTTCTCCCACCACATGCCACCCTCCATCCTCCATGCCCGCTGCCCGCCACCACCACTGCCACCACCCCGCTGCCGCTCGCCTTGCAACAACCACGCCGCACCCTTCCACCCACCAAGTCACTGTCTTGCCTTGCGTACATGGATCCAGCCGTCCGCCCGCGGTTGCACAAGGTATACACACTTGGGGCGCGCATCCCCGTCGCGTGTGCCCAGGCTCGCCCGCAACCCAGCACCCAGCATCCCAAGGGCGCGCCAGGAACGTCACAGGCACCAAGCCAGCATCAGGCTGTCATTTCACTGCGGCCCACGTTTCGCATCCCTTGTGCTTGCCTTGTCGCTCCGCCGGCGCCCGGTTCCTGATTTGTCGTGGTAGGTTCCTGGCCGACTCTCATGCAGCCTTACTCAATTCGCCCCAACAGGCCTAGCCATGCCGTCGTGCGCATCCGTCAACGTGGTTTGGTTGTCGAGGCGTACCTTTAGCCTTCCCGCGGCACACCGGAACAGCCACCGTCTCTGTCGCCGTCGAACCCATCCCCTGTCCGAGTCAAGGAATAGGCGAGTAAAAGGACCGTCCTTGATGCGCTGATGATGTGCGCTCCCCATCGTCATGGCATGCCATTATGACCACATCCCCCCTCTGTCCTCGCTGCCCACCTGCCTCTCGCGGCGCACCAATTCGTGCTCGCTGTGACACTGGCTCCCTCGCGCCTCAGGGGGGTCCTGAATGTCCGTCATGCCATCATCCCAACGCCACAGCCCCAAGCCATGCCGCCCTCGACACATGCAGGGCACCGCGCGGGGTTGCGCTGGTCTGCCCGACGCGTCGTCAAACCTCCCTCGCTCTGATCGACCAAACGGCAGCGTGCTCCAGCCCCAAACTCTATTTTTTCCCGCCAACCTTCTTCGCGGCGCACTTGCTTGCTCTCGATCAATAGACCCATTCTTGTCCTTGACAGAGTTTTTGCCCACGCTGGCCCAAATTGGGCCGACACCCTCCCTCTCTCTGTGTGGGTGCGCGCCCTATGCCCTGAGGGGAAGCGCGTTCACACTCCAAATGTTGCAGTTCCCCTCTGTATGGCCCTGTGCGCCCTGTCATTCTATAGACCCTGACTGTCAACCCACCGAAAATGTCCCAAGCGTCCTGCAACCAAGTCGTCGCCTTGCTGGGCGACCTGTTGTCGTCCACCGCCAGCAGGATTTGCTCCGGGAACCCCCCCTCCCTATTCTTCCAGAACCCTTCTCCCGTGCTATCCTCGTGTTACAGCCCATCCAAATAGATTGGCGGCCCACCCCTAATCCTGCCTCATGTCCACAGAATCTCCGAAGCCTGCAACTCCTTTGTCGGGCACGAAGCTGCGCCGTCGGCTTGTTAGAAAAAAACCTAGCTTCCACCTTACCATACGCGTACGAGTTTTTTTTCGCTGACTAGCACGCTTCGCCCACCACCGCACTTTCCCGGCTATTATTGCACCGATCGTCGATGGCTGCTCCCGGGGCAACCAACGCTGTTTGACCATGTCCCTTCCTAACTTTGGGTCCCGAGCGTGCGTTCGGCCAATTTCAAAGCTAGAGTAGCATCCAACCAATGGTTTCCGCCATCACCACAGCCTAAACATCTCCCACTAGCTGTTACCACGGCAGGGGCCTTTCAAACCATGGTCCGTACCGGATACGGTATGCAGCACCGGATGCCATCTGTTGAAAAGCAACCCTCTGTTGCGCGCTTAACTTTTCACACATGTCTGCATAACCTTGGTCACGGTTTTCACGCACCATCACTTGTAGCAGCAGCCGAGGCGTGGGCAGACTACTTACGCAAACATTGCACAAACATACGAGGAGCCCACCGCGCGACACGCCTCGGTCACGCGCGGTACTCTCGGTCCCAGAAAATCTCTCGTGTTTCTTGACAAACCCGGTTGCGGATGCGCGCCCACAGCGAAGTTGAACAAACTCTTTATTGCTCTGCCCTTTTGCGACACCGAGCTCGTCAATGCGAAAGTATTCCCAGGAGAAAAAAACGTCATTGTGCCGCTGCAGCCACTTTTGCTTTGTTCGCGACGCAGCTGTTCCGAAAGCAAAAGCACAAATGGTAGCAGAACAAGCAAAATGCATAGTGATGTTCGGCTTGAAAAGCAAATCTGATAGCACGGACTGATGAGCCTCGAGCCACCCGTTTGTTCCACGCTGATGAAACCATCAATGGTCACCTCTCACAATGTGGCGCATCTGTCTGCAAAACGACGTAGGTGCGAAGGATTTCTGATGCGAGGTCGCGCAATCTCACCCTCTCTTTGTTGGCGTTCATGTTCCCCAGCCTCTCAGCTACCCGAGGCATAACATCGCATTTGATTGAAACACGCCATTAGATTTGATATTCCGCTCATCTCCATTTCGTCGGTGGTTTATTGACTCCAAGGTCAGATCACGGTCTCTCCACACATACACACCTTTCCCACTCCCCCTTGTTCTCCGAATTCCTTTCTCGGTAGACCTAGTCCAACGTCAGCTTAACGTCTATTCGCATATGTAGAATCCGGCCCGAAGCATATGGCCATAATACTACCGAACGATAGCTATTGGCTGCTCGTGTTGGAGCGATTCGGATTGTTCCGCCAGATACACGGTTACGTGAGCATCTCGATTCTCGATCACCGCTGGCTTATCCCAATGGAAAGGTCCGTCTGATCAAGGATCCCGGGCAGTTGCTGCATGTCCGCCTAGCTGCGCTATCTTCACCATACTAAGTCGGCTACACTACCAGGGCTGAGAAACATGTCAATGGATTCTCGCTACACAGACTCCCAGCTGAACAGAAGCCAGCTGTAAAAAAAAACATTATTTCGTAGCCAAACTCTACAAGGCCAATCATCCTTCTCATGCATTTGCTCATCACGCCTCACCTGTCTCAACAAAGTGAATCCTCTTATTTGATGTACACCGCCAAAAACGGACGTCGTGGCTTGACAGCAATATGCATGTGCGTCTTTCCATACGAGATGCATGCAAAAACACATTCACCCACATATACCCCACATGCAACTGCATTACGCAAACCACGTCATCCAAAACCAATATTTCTTTGCTAAAGCTAGTTTCTCACTTGTTTATTTTGATATGATTGATGTTGTTGATATCTTGGTCGCAGTGTGTGAAATGGCAGCTCCAATTGATTTATTCGTCAATCCAAATCCGAGCCCGAGCTGAACAGAGACATTAAGAAACCCAGCCAGCCGATGAAAATAAAACAAATGTGGAAAGAACAAGCGATGCACCGGCCATCTATTGATCAGCTGAGAGAAAAAAGAAATCGCCGACGATAATTGAGCAAAGACAGTAAATGAGATCGGGAGGGAAAAAAAGAAGAACAAGAAGAACAAAAGAAGCATGCGCGGATATCGATAACCAGTGCCAGTACGCACGATGCAAAATCCCCGCATGTGCGCACACACATATGCCATCACACCCGCTCACCACCACTCGCCAGCCCTAATCTTCAGCCGTCCTTCCACCCGTCCGCCACCACAACCACACTTTGAGCAGTGGAATAGGAGTAAACGGGACAGTTTGGACCCTTGCCTCCTCTCCCACCTTTCCCGTCCACATGACAAGCATCAGTCAATATCTTAACACATCAAATTTATACCCTCTAGATCTTAACCCCGCTTTCTTCCCTCCCCCTCACTACCCCAGCTTTGAACCGCTCGTCTATCGTCTCTTTTTTTCTCTTCTCCTCCAGACACACATAGAATCCTAGAGACGCCACAGGAGGTGTGAGGCAAAGAGAGAGAGAAAGACATACGCTAAAAAAAAGCGGAAAGCACGGGAGATAAACGAGAGAAAAAGGTGACTTCCCCGAAAGAAGGAAAGAAAAGAAAACAACAACAACATGAAATCAATGAAAGCAAGACCGTTTGAGCCAGTCACATTGAGAAAGAGGGTCATGGAAAAGCAAAAAAAAGCACAAACAAAAAATACTCCCCCCCTCCCCCCGCCGAGATAGACAAAAACAGAGACAAGGGGAAAGAAGAGAGACACGAAAAAAAAACTTGCTCACCTTTGTTCCTCACCTGCATCTACATCCTCGTAAATTCCGCATTTGACCGACTACCACTTTTATCAGATTGGCCGACAGTTGTTGTTCTTTCTCTCTCTTTACCTTGTCAAGTTCAGGCCCTGGGCCTAGAGGAGGGGGGGGGGTGGAATCTGGCCTGTCTTGCCCGTAACTTGGGTCCCCTCCATCCTCTTCCCCTTCCCCACTCCCTAGCCTAGTCCATGCGCAGGTACCGGAGTGAACTACTCTTGTTGTTCAACAGTAAGTAGTTAAGTGGGCAAGAACATGGGGGCTGCTGACCGCCTTTTCATGCACGCAATGTAAGCCACACGCCCATACTACTTACACACAGACACACACCACTACCCCCACACCGAGCCAACAGCCCGGTGGGCACAGACTCTAAAATAGTCTCGCCCTCTCTCTCTCTCTCTGTCGTACACCTACGTTAGCCTCTACTTACTTACTCTGCTTACCTTACCCTGCCTATCCATGCAAGTCTCACGGTGCTGTCAAACTGCCACTAACGTAGTATGTACATGCTGACAGGGAACGCTGGCTCGCGGCTGAGCGGCCTCGTCAACCTTTGTTGAGACTTTACCACTTGCGGGATACGGTGAAAAGAGCGGTCACGTCGGACTATTCTCCAAGGCGAGTAGAAGCGATTCATGCTTCCATCACGACGTCGTTGCATCGCGATTCGCAAAATTCACTCTAACATGAACCTAATTAACCATCATGAATAAGGCAAAGTGTATTGAGACTATATATTCTATCGACATCGCAGATCTGCTCTAGAACAACTAACCCGCATTCGAGTAACTGCAAATGGTTAGCTGATTGTCAAACCAAAAGTATATTCAACATGGTGAATAGTATATGGTGCGGGTTCAGGTCTCCAAGGTGATTGTATCTTCAATGTGATTAAGAAAGAACACAGCGAATCATGTTTTTCATCATACGAAGGCGAGGGGGGAGAATAAGCAAACAATGACACTTACCGAAGTCGCAGAAAGCAATTGCATATCAAATGCGCAAAGCTAAGGCTAATATGAACACGTTAGTATATGTCCATAAAGAGACAACGATATCCATATAAGATGAATAGAACAAGTCCATCAAGTATCAGCCTGGAGCGAGTTAGTTGACAGTTGCACAGACAATAATTCATGGCCTTCAACATACCTCATTAAATCAGATTTGGTTGTAGTGATCAGTATGACGGACGCTCGTTACAACGCCGCCACTCACACAGTGTGAATATCAAGAATCATCATTACAATGATGGACTGTCTTTTAAGAAAAAGAGAATGCCGTACCTGTGGAGTCCGTTAGAACCATTCCACAAGAGTATGTCGTCATATGTGTGAGAAAGTAGGGCAATCAGTGATGCTTGTATCAACAAGTAATGTCTCTTCCAAACACCCACAGGTTTGTACGCCTGCTTTTGATGGATGCCCAGTTGAGGTATACGTTATGTCCGCCCGACGCATCAAAGGGTTTCATCAGGAAGCTTGGGGTGTTCGCGGGATGCACAGGGTTTGAGCGCAGGGAGTATGTACCTATTCAGGCCCAGTTAGCACCTTGATTGCAAGAAGAACTATGCGAAATGCGATAGGTTTGAGCAGTGTCAGACAAGGCTGAAACTAAAAGCAAGTGTGTCGACATTCTATATTCAGGTCGAGGAATGCCTTTCCGTGTCGTGTTTTCATCACTCTGCGGATGGTGGGAAAGAGTAGTTGGAGATGCCTTACCTTTAAGAAGAAAAAGAAACTGTATCGCCATGGATAACTGTCAATCCTGGATGTCACTACACTGGAGCTTTGTTAGCAATTTGCGCAAACAGAAAGCTGTAAGAAGGTGCGTGTAATTTCATGCATCATTGTAATTCTAGAGTTTGTATAGTCCTTCACGATGCTGTAGGATTTGGATTGTTCGTATGTGATAATCTTCTGCAGGAGTCGCGGGAGCTGAGAATGGCTTACCTGCTATGTTCGCATGTGCGATTGATGCATTAGTACTGATCAAAGACGATAGAGAAGCGCGCAAAGCAGACGCGTTGTGTGGTTGGTGATGGGAACGATGTAGAGAACGGTTTTGAGCTCCAGAAATTTTAGCTTCGAGCTCGGCGCCGAGCTTCCGTAGCGCCGCTTATGTAATGCACCAGTCGCGCTACCACTCTTTCCTCGCTCATCCAAATCAAAACAAAACTATTGGTATGAGTTCATGGAGTGTGGAGAATAAGAGAGTCTGCTTACTTTATTGCTCTAGTGATTTTATTACAAGTTACAAAATCTACACCGACCGTCGATCTTAATGGGAGGGTCATAGTGCTCTTCTTCCGACATTTGATGCTTTAATCACTACGACCACATGGCGCAGTCCTAATTGCTCTGTAGCGTCTAGAAAACCACCCGTCTCAGGTAATCGTTTTGCGAAATTTTCAACCATTTTCATTAGCCGGCTTCAGTTATCTGATCTAGAAGTTAGCAAGACTGCACCTGTACGCATGCATTGTTTCTTCAGACTGTCGCCTGAACATAGAAACGGTGCATTGATCGAGTGCGGAGACTATACCTCAAAACAACTCTTAACATGTAGGCTTATATACTATGATTGCTTCGGAGTGCACAAAAGTAGTTTGATCTTAGATCGGTATGCTGCTGACTTGTCACATTGACAAGCAGGGAAGGGATCTTTTGCCATCCCAAACACACAAATAAATCCCACATAAGCTACTCGCGTAGTATACGTTAGCTTACACGCACAGAAGGTTTGTGGTGAATAAACAACCACGACATATGAGGGTATCGCATGTACTGCATGCAAGTGTTCTGGGTTGTTTTGCTGTCATGAGCATACGTCCCTTATGTGAGAAAAACGCTATGCGAAAAGCGATATAATGCACCTGCCCTTATTCGGCCGACCTATGTCCTATGTCATTTTTTCCTTTTACTTGCTTACTCTTCCAGCAACAGTAATCACATGGGTCAACTGCATTTCATAGGCATTCACTATTTCAAAACCTACTTTGCACACAGAACACCCATGTCTATTCACTACATTGATGCTACACAATGACATTCCTATCACATACACACGCAATTCTGAACAAGACACGTGTGAGAGTAATTGAACTTGCAATATTCCTCGCTTTAAAGAACAGTATGAAAGGGCTTTGCATTTTATGTCATGTATCTAAGCTCGCTCGTCAATGGTGCAGAGAAAACACACTCTCCCCAGACTATATAAATGGCCTTGTTCGAGCCGTTCAACTGCCTCCGAATATACATTATGAAAGTAGAGGAAGAAGAGGGTGTAAGAAAGGGGAGAGGGTATGAGGGTATGAGGGTATGGGGTATGCAGAGGGAGAAAGAAGAGGTAGGGGTACAATGCAGGAAGATGGTAATGTCCAAAACGACACTACTCGTCCAACGATGTATGTGCCAGAGATGCGAGCATTACAAATCGTTGAAAGCATAACGACGTCTCAAAAAAGGTAAAGAAAAAGAAAAAGAACCGTCGACAATATCGAAGCAACCTTGGTCGAGCAAGTGTAACAGTGGGTATGTAGCGTGTTTTGTAATGGTCCCTCCCAGTGTGCGCCGATAGAAGCAGGTGGTAAAGAAGCAGGTACATGAAGGATAAAGGTGTGAGATGGGTGGATGAAGGAGCTTAGAAGCAGTTGAGTGTACCCTTTTTCCTGCCCTTCTTTTGGGCGTCATTGAGAGCTGCCATGCGTGCTTCCAGGTGAGCACGCTCAGCTTCAACACGTAAACGGGCGTTGCGCTCCTCCTCGACAGCTTGAAGAGAGTGGCGTGCTGCGCTGCGCTCCTTGCGCATAACATTGAGCTCTTCTTCTAGAGTGGCGCACTTCTTCCTGAATTGATCCAGATCAGCCCTGGTCTTTGTGCTGGAAGCCTCGAGATCAGTCAAAGCATCCTCCAAGGTAGCTGTAAGCTGCTTCTCAGCAAAGAGATGCTTCTCAATGGTGCGAATACGAGCTTCCTGGTCCTCGACCAACTGAGCATGAGCAATGTCCTTGCTTTGGTGACGCGAGGTAGGAGGAGAAGGTGCATTGGTTTGAGGTGGCGGGCTGCCAGGAGGAAGAGGGGGAAGAGGAATGGCTGGCGGCGGTGAGGGCAAGGAAGTGTGTGCAGCGTTCTTGCGTGCAGTGGAGTTGTTTGAGTTGGATCGTTGAAGGTCTTCGCGGGGATCCACGGATACACGGGCAGAGTTGCGCTTTGCATCAACAAGTTGGGACTAGTCACGTTAGATATGTTCATGAGTGGGAATATGGTTGAGCTTACCTCTAGGAGCGCAATCTTGATGCGTGATTCCTGTACTTCCTTTTCGAGTTCCTCGCCGTGGGTCATAGCGTCTTGAAGTTCACGAGAGCGCTCAGTTTGCAGAGCAGAGAGTCGGTTGTTGGCGGCCTCATGCTGGTCCCAGTTCTGGTTGAGCTGGTCCTCCAGTTCTTGTACGAGGCGAGCACTCTTGAGCTCTTTCTCACTGACCCTCTCAAGCTCTTTCAGCGTCTCGGCGTTGATAAGCTCAAACTCTTTGAGGTTGCCCTTGAGCTTATTGATGGTGCTGGTAGCCTCTGCAAGTTCCGTCCTTGCTGATTCAAGGTCCTTGACAGCTTCATCTAGTCGACTGGCAATTGACTTGCGCTCTTTGACCAACGCTTCGATATGAGACTGGATGGTGCCGATGTCTGTTTCTTCGCCCAAGGCCTCCGAAACACCTTGGAGTAGCGTCTCCATCTCGGTCTTCGCCTTAGCAAGATCAGCCTCCAGAGAAGATGCTGTCTCCTTGTGAGTCGTAAGCTCTGATGTGAGCTTCTCGAGCTCAGCAGCATGTGTCTTCTGGATAGAGTCCATGCCTTGTTGATGGTACTCGATTGCTGCCTTGTGCTCCTCAATCTGTCTTTCCAGGTTGGTGACGAGAGATCGATGGGTCTCGAGTTCTTTCTCGGTGAGCGAACGGGCTTGTGAGTCTTCCTCGAATTGCCTGACGATATTGGTATGTGACTCCTCAAGCTCGGCAAGGCGAGCAGCGTTGTTCAAAGCTGTAGACTTGTGTTCATCTACCTCGGCTTGTAATGCGGCGATCATCGCAGCATGCTTGGCGCGCTCCTGTTGCAAAGCGGCTTCGGCTTCAGCACCTCTTGTCTGCTCGATCTCAGACAAGCGTAGAGCGTGGTTTACTTCAAGCCGTTGCTTGGCAGATTCCAGCTCACGAACAGTCTCAAGATGCTGCCTCTCCGAGGCCTTGGTGGCTTCGATAGCCTCAAGGTGCTTGGAGTGCCAGTGAGCAGCTTCATCACTAAGCTTAATGACTTCGTTATGGTGAGCGGCATCTTCGTCTGACTCGCCATCACCGTTGGTTGTCCGAGGGGTATCTGGCATCTGTCGGTGTGAGAGCAGGTCCTCCGATGATGCGCCAAGCTTGACAGAAGACTTGAGTGTCTCGATTTGAGCTTTGAGCTCCTGCTCCCGCTGAGCGTGCGAGTCCTTCAACTCTCGGATATGATCCTCATTTTGCTTCATCTGATCCTGCATTGAAGCAACAATAGAGATGTCAAGAGGAGATCCAGCCTTCAAGCTCGAGCGTTCCTTTGTCAAACCACTGATCAAAGTCATTTTACCTTCCATCTCCTTGCGTATGGACTGAACCTCAAACTCTAGATCCTGAACTCGATCTGAGCGTACTTGAATCTCCGACATGATTGTGTTGAGGTTGAGCTCAAAGTTCTGTATGGCGTCTTCGTCCTCGTCCAACCTGTCCAGCACAAGGGTTCGAAGAGAGGAAACGGCACGGTTGGCGCGGTCGTTTGCAAGGACTGCTTGACTCGACTTTCGACGGATCATGTGCATTGATGGCGAGGCTGGCCGATTCAGCTGAGCCTTGGTGATCTCTGATTTGAGCTCTTCGACGTAGTCGAGCATGTCTTGGTGTTGTTCTTGCAGCTCAGAGTAAGTCTGCTGGAGCTCATTGATGCGCTCTTCCTTCTCACTTTGTAGTATCTTCAAGGCTTTCAATTCCTGAACAAGGACAGTCTCAGGGATGTGGGGCTCTTGGCCCAGAGAGGCGACTGAAGCTCGTTTCGGAGTGGCCTCATCATGGCCAACTTCCGTCCCCTCGTCTAGAATACTGGTATTGCCAGACTCCGCTAAGGACAATTCCGCAGACAAGGTACGCGAGGACGAAGGTTGTCCATCCTCTGCTGTGAGGCCATTCACCCCCGCGTTTGATAAAAAAGATGTCGGTCGAGAAGATGGTGCAGATGAAGCAACATGGTGACGCGCCTCATCGACAGAGTCTTGAAGAGCTGCCAAAGTGCGCAAAGCCTCCTGGTACTTGCTGGCAAGCTTCTCGTAGTCTTGGAGTGTCCCTTCGTGTTCTACACGGAGATCGAGCAACTCTTGTGTGACAGTGTCAAGCTTGTCGTGAACGAAGCGGACTTGTGCAGGGCTCGATGGTCCATCGTCGGCATCGTCACGGATTCCATCGTTGGAGATGGCCTTGACAGCAAAATCGGGTTTTTGCTCCTCGGCATCAGGATAGTGAGCAGCGGTGCTGGAGGTCTGGGGACGTTCGCTACCAGCCTCCTCGGGAATGGCATCAATAGGAGTACCAAATTGGTGCATGCTGTCAGTGGTCACTCGCCTCTCGAGGTTGGTGTGCTTGTCGATGAAGGGATCACTAGGTGTCTTGGAATGACCATTTACGTGGTTTTCCTCGGCTTTTGAGTCCGTCCTGTCGAGTTCGTAGAGCAAGTTGTCTAGTTTAGCAACACTACGTTGTCTTTCGACAACATGCTTGAGTCGCTCAATCTCACGACTCATCATCTCAGTTTCTTGCTCATTTTCGGCGAGGCGCTCTTCCAATGTAGAGATGTATTCTTCACTGCTAGCCTCGTTCTCGCGAGCCTTTTGCAGCTTTTCGCGCAATTCAGATATCACGGTGTCGTTCTTCTCAATGCCATTGACCGAGGAGTCGATTTGGCGCTCGAGCGACTGGACGTACTCTTCGTTGTTGGCGTCACGCTCCATTGCCTTTTGGAGGCGAGACTGCAAATGCTGATTCTGGCTCTCGAGGATGGCAATGCGAGTCTCCTTTTCCAGCAAATCGCTTTCGTGGGTTGACAAGGTAGATCGCGTGTTGGAGAGAGATGATTCCAGCGTCTGAATAGTCTTTTCGTATTCCAGGACAACAGATTCGACGGCCTCGGCGAAAGAGTTTGATCTCTTCAATCGTTCTACTGCAGAGTCGCCAATAGCATCCTTGAGCATAGGCGTTTCCGTCTCGCTGTTATCACGTGCTTTGGTGATCTCGGAGATAAGCTTAGCGTGACGCGCGCTTAGGGCGTTGTAGTTTTCCTGAATATCCAGCAGCTGATTCTGAAGCTCGGCTTCACGTTCCTCTTGCCGTTCAGCGCGCTCTTGGGGGCCGGTCTTCTTTCTATCCGCGCGCTCAGACAGTCGTATCTGGTCTCGGAGAAATTGAACTTCGGCTCTCAACCGGTCGATAGCCGCTTGCTTATCACTGTCGTCATGGACCTGCTGAATCTGGGGTTTAACTTGGATAGCACGGGCGCGCTGCGCGTACTGGACCGTGTTGAGGGTTTCGCTTAGGTGGAACTCAGCTGGGTTGACGCAAGCGATCATGTATGTGATAGCGTTGCCGCCAAGCGAGTCTTGCAGAAGGCGCGTAAGCCTGGAGTCGCGGTACGAAACATAGCCCCCGTGAGAGCGTGCCGAGAGTTGTGAAATAACTTTTCCCAAGCTTGCAAGACCTGCGTTGATCGAAATACCTTCCTTGGCGCGCTCGCCTTGCGCCCCTGTATTTTTCAGCCGCTCGCTTCCCGCCAGATCGACGAAATGGAGCTTGCTATCCACAGTTACCCAGCTCTCGCTGGAGCCAGACATCATTTCGATGGGCACAGACCGGCGCTTCTCGCGGGTTGATGTTGTTATTGTTGGCGAAGACTTCTTCTGTACTAGGTTCAGACTAAAAACGGCATGGGAGCGCGACGATTTTGCGTTGACGGCAGTCGCATCAGTCTGCCGGATTGAGGAGCCGAAGTTGAGAGCACCGAGCAAATCATCGATCGAGTTTACGGGTATTTGGGTGAGTCCAGTGAGGAGAATGCGACCATCACGGTCCTCTCGGATGTTTACCTGAGGTCGCTCGCCGTGAGCTACGTTTTCGGGTAGTAGCAGGTCGCGAAGTTGCTCATTGTAGATCTGCTTGCATCAGTGCGTGCTTTTTTTTCGACTTTGCTTTTTTTCCTTTTTTGTTCGGCTGGTGGGTCATTACCTCTACATACGTGGCTCTCAGTTGCCAGTTTCTATTTGCCTGCGATGTTGAAGACTTGGCAGTGAAGTTCTGAATTCCAGATAAGCGACTTGGAGCGCGAATGCCAGAGCCGGCGCTTTTGTTGGACCCATCGAGTTTGTCGAACAGCAATGCGGCTGCGCGGGGGATAATACCTAGATGCGCAGTCAGTATCACTTTGTCTCTCTCTCTTTTTTGTCAAGAGTGCGTTGGCAAGTCAAACATACCCATAACTTCGGGATCGGCTTGGTCGCGTGGGCCTGTGGTGCCCATTGTGTACGACTTTCCGGCACCAGACTGGCCGTAGGCAAGAATGGAGACATTGTAGCCCTGGACGAAAGAATGGACGCTGTCTGCGACATATTCGAAGATGCCCTCCTGGTTAATATCCTGGTCAAAGACACGGTCAAAGATGAAGACCTTCTTGCCTCCGGCTGCGTCTACAGTCAGACTCGAGGGTGAAGTGACGTGACACAAGGCATTGCGAAATCGTTGAGGAATGAGTTCGTAGCCAGGATCTCCATGCTGAAGTGCAGGACGCACGCGGACGGCTGCATTAGAGGGTGGTTAGTACGCAGCGTGCATATCGGACCGTGGGGGGAGGGCACCTACCAACTTTGACGGCGGTCCTGCTGTCTTCGTCCGACGCCTTGCTCTCGCCTGGCTTGCTACTGATACTCATACGGCTGGAACTGCGGTTGGAGCGCAACATGGCGCTCATGGGCCGCGTAACACCGTTGGCGGGCGAGCCTGGTGGTGAAGTGGCCATGTGAGCGGCCGCGGCAGCGCCGTGAGAAGTGAAGGAGTGGTGTACAGCACGGTATGGCGGGACGGCGAAGTTTTGTTTTATACTTGTGGGGTGAGTGCAACTGGACGGAGCGAGGAGGGGAGAACAGGCGCTGTAGTGGCCCTGGCCGGCATCCGCGTAGAGGTTTGGGGTGGTGAGAGGTAGATGGAGTGGTGGTCAAGGTGGAGCGCGATGGGGGAGCGCAGGCCGCGACTACACTATGCAGGCTGTGGAGCAGAGCAGCGGCAGCAGCAGCAGTGGCGGCGGCGACAGCAGCAGCAGCAGCAGCAGCAGAGCGAGGGCCGCGGGGAAAATAGTGAAGAAGGAATTATTCTGCTTGTGAAGACCAGAGGACAGAAAAGCAAAGCAAGTAGGGTTCGGCGCGGGTCATCAGAGCGACAAAGGCCCCCCCCTAGCGCCAGATGATTTCCAGGGGGAGCGCGCGCCTTTGACAGCACCCGCCCCCGAAGTAGAAGAGGCCAGGACCCTGACCTGCTTGCTCGGCGTGAATGTGGACACAGATGCGCCTTGTCCGCTGCCCGCGCGGCGGCGGGTCCATAAGCATTACTACAAGCAGCAAAATGCAGCCAGCAGCCGTTGTTCCTGCAGCCCGCCAGGCCCATTTGCTCCGCCGGCCTGCATTGCTGCTGCATTTGCATTGCCCATTGCCCGACCCCATGCAGGGCTTCGATATACTACACACACTACTCCTACCCGCGCCCTCATCTATCCTCTGCCGCCGGCTCGGCTCGACACTGGCACTGACACTGGCCATTGGCTCCGACGACGACTACTCAAGCACTCTCTCACCACGACTCCCATGTGCCAACTAGCTCGAGTCCACTACCCATACTTGTGCCTCCAACCGACGCCTCACTAGCCATAGCACCAGCACCAGCGCCCAGCCCACTACGCTGACATTTATTCGGATTGTCATGTCACCCAGGCGCTCGAGCATATAACACAGGTAGATGCTCTTCATGCATCGGCCGACTGCTCCCGACACGGTAGCAAACATGGCCCATCGTACGCGCCTCCTGGCCACACACGGGACCGGCGCGCGCAGATCTTGTCAGAGTCGTCTTCGCCCTGCTGGACGAGCCGATGTTGGCCTGCATCTCGAGTCGCGTCTGCGCGCTGTCAGCCTCGTACAGTCGTAGAATCATCAAAAAGTAGCGTGTTTCAGCTCGGCCAATCCTACCCAAATTGCAACCGACATAACCGTTTCCTGTCGCTTAGCCAAGCTGCGTGACGAGGCTGCGCCAACTCCGTACGAACACTGCGTGCCACAGAGAAGGGGGATGGACTGTAACCATCTGCTCTAGTGACATACTACATCGATCGCCCTCAAAATCAAAAACCCTCCGGTGCCCTTGCCCATGCCCGCCCCAAGACTCCCTTCCTCCCTCACTCATGCAACCAGCCGTCGTCCAAATCCATTGGCCCTTTCCTGTTCCTAGCGTCTGCTGCCAGCGCCAGTGCCGTCGATAGTCATGCTGCTATCCCCCCCCTTTCTATTAAACCCCTATCGTTACTCTCCGGCATATGGCGTGAACAATCTCTACTGCATCTGCTCAACCTGCCAAACCTGCCAAACCCAGGCCGACTCTACCGTGTAGATCTCCGCCGCCTGCTCGTCCGACTGCAGAAGTGGAAGTGCAGTCGGCGCAATAATGTGACTGTGTGGCTAGCCGCAGTCTCACTATGCCCCGGTGGGAAGCCCGCGCTCTAAGTAAGCGTTGCCAGCCACGTGCTGCCCGCTCCACTGAGCGACGCCCGGCGGCTCGACAAAACCATCGCGACCACAAACTTCGCATCGGCAACTACCGCCCTCGCACGGCTACCTGATCCCGCAACCATCAAACTCTTGCAGCCCAACGCCTTTAGCCTTGTGGACACAATCAACTCACCTTGCGTAGAACCCCAAGGCAGCTACTCGGCCTACTGACGCGTCGTCCCGAGCACATCTCCATACATGGTATGTACATAAGTATATACATACCATCTCCAACGGTGCACGGAAACCCCATCCTAGTGGAAATTAAATGTGACCTGCGGCCAGACAAAAAGCTAGTTTCAGCGAACCGCATGCTCTAGGACAGACGGCCGTTTACAACAACTGGTATCTAACCAGACTTGGCTTTATCGCTGGCCTGATATCTGCCTAAGTCTGCACTGTACATACAGTATTATGTACGTGTGGATACCTAGTGTAATAACACCAGCCTGATATAGGTCCTTGCATGCTTGCGCCATGTCGACCGACATCCACTCCGCAACCTGCTTTCTGCACATCGCGCACTGTGCCACGGTTCCATATCAAGAGCGACGGAATACTACCGAGTGCTAGACCGAAACACTGCATCCGTTTGTTTCAACTCTCGCGTACAGGCTGATTGTCACAAAGGCACAAGACACCCATACACACACACACACACACACACAGTAAGCTTCGATCTTCCTTATCCTGGACTCGGCAAGCCCAAGCCCAACCCGGGACGGACCCCGCCCGCGTTCCATGTCTGAAGCCTGTCCAGGCCACGAGAGGCCATGAGTTCTCACACGCCCTTACTGACGGCATGTACGTATGTACACAAGCTGCATGCCGCAACCCCCCCGGCCCACAACGCTCCGTCTTGAAACCTGCAAAAATCTGGAGATTGAAGCCCACTCCGATTTACCCGGTTCTTGCTGCTGCACACGTACGAATACGCACCCCCCCCCTTCCTCCGATTTATTAAACAGATGCGCGAGAGATCCAGGCCCCAACCGCTGCACAGACACCTACTCGCCCTTCGTTTGCCCTCGACTTCATTGGGTGTGCGGGGTAGAAAGGTTAGCTTACCCCGGTTCAACCATGTCCTCTTTCTGTAAAGTCATGACTTGGACCTACATTTGCCCCTCCAAAAGGACCCATTTTCCAACGTTGCAAGCGTGCATTTCTGCGAACTCACCCCCTGGTCGCAAGGCCTCCCACTCTTCACCTATCACAGCAAAAAATAAGCTTACCTACTGACGTGATGTCGCGGGATCGACGCAGGATATCGTCAGACCCCCAAGTCCATATTCAAACGTCTTTTTTTGTGTCACAACTACCGTGAATTTCGCGCTTTCATGCCCCACCTTTTTTCTGTTTTCCGCCCTTTCTCCCTCTTTTTTTTCAAATGGGTTTTGCATGACAATAGAAACTCCGTTTTTTCTCTCTTGCCTCCTTATCCATTAAATAAGGTTTAATGTAGTATATCTGCCACGACTCGTGCCTCCTGCTACACTCTCTCCCCTTTGTGTGTCAGGTTTTTTTTTCCTGTCTGGCAATCCCAGTCCTTTCAGTTACATAATCTTTCCATTTCAACTGTAACAAGGGTGGGGAATGACAAACTAACGTAATCGCATCTCGCATAATCTGTTGCTAGCTGCCAAAGTTTTCCTTTTCGCACGTGGGATCGCCAAGGAAAGTTGTGCGTAAAGTTACTTACTTACTGTAGTAAAGACAAAAAAAGTATGATATTTTGGACACATACTCTCTCTCTCTCTCGACACAAACCTTGCTCAGACGCCCGCCCTCCCTTCCCCATTCTCCCCAAAAAAGACGCGTACATACATCAATCACATGCCTAAACGAGACTTTTGCTATCAGGAGGGGGCAAGTGGAACCCCCCGCGCCCATTCTTTCTCGTCCCTCCCACCCCAGACATTAACAAAAAGAACCAGCCAATCCATAACCGTTGCTTCTCGCGTACATACGTACGTAACGTACGTACAGGACAAGTAAGGAAACTCGAGCCGAAAACACCTACTTAAAGTGTCTGCCATGACTCAATCCCACCTACCACTCACGCGTTATGATTCGATTCCGCGTATCAAAACTCCGTCTCTCTCTCTCTCTCTTTTTTTTTCTCTTCTCTTCTTCTTCTCAGGACTACATTTGTTTCATACACAGTAATAGTAACATGCATAATAGTAAAATAAACCCTTGATTTAAGCACCGATGATGATGATGATGCTTGATTTTTTTTTTTTTTACTTACTCAAAAACTTGGCGTGACAAACGGCGGTCCTGACTCGAAAAAACTTGCAAGTGACATCGCTTGGCCGGGGGGTTGGAGAGCAAAGAAAGGGAAAAAAGTTTAAATCCTTCTCGTATGATCGGTTGGGAAGGGGGGGAAGGGGGGGGGGTTATATGTGAAGGATGATATTATATGTCGTATTCGCCTTATCTGCGTGTGTTTTGTGAGTGGCCAAAAGTGATCGAGAGAGGGAGAGAGAGAGAGAAAGAAAGAGGGATATGACCAATTTGTTTTTGGCCACGGTATTGATAGGTGACATCTTATTTGCGCTCTTGTTGATACGCACAGACGTTTGTGGGGGAGAGAGAGAGGGGGGGTTTCATCTTCCATATTTCTCTCTCCCTCTCTCTCTCTCGTTTCTCTGGGAGCTATGTAGTATGAGGAAGGAAGGAAGGACGGGGAAAAAAAGGGGAAATCGGGGTGCTCTTCTCGATGTGTAGGTGTACCCTTCGCCACTTGCCCACTGCAGATCACATGGGCTGAACTTAATGTTTTAGTCAGGTAGACTTAAGTTTGTTTTTTTGTTTCTTTTTTTGGGTGTGTGGCATCCCACAACATATGCATTTAGCGATATAACCTTTTTTTCTTCTTCTTCTTCTTCTTCTTCTTCTTTACCCTAACAGGATATCCCTCAAAGTATAAATTTACCCGAGCTCTCGGAAAGAAAAATTTATACAAATTCGTGGAAACACTACACTGCTTGGATCGTTCATGTTGGTATTCTCGTCTGGTTTATTAGATTATTATACATTACGAGTTTTGTAGGCGAGAACCAAAAAGGCAGATGGTAAACCAAATCTGCTCCTCTGTACTACTTCCTTGCCCGACACTTGTTTAGCAAAGCAAATGCCCATTTTGTATCAGGATGATGCGCTCCAAGAACTCGCTCGCGCAGCTGGTAGCATGGCTGTATGAGAGAGATGGCTTCTTCGTGCCGTCCTTGCGCCCTTAGGATAAAGGCAAGATTAGACATGCTAACCAGTGTTTCGGGATGCTCATGCCCAAGTATCCTCTTTGATGTCTCTGCTACTTGCACCAATAGGTTTTCAGCCTCCTTCCATCGCTGTTGATTACTGTGGGTTGCTGCCAGGTTTGACATGCTAATCAGAGTGTTAGGATGCTCGTCCCCGAGTACTCTTTTTCTTATCTCTATTACTTGTTGCTCCAGCTCTTCAGCCTCCTTCCACCGCTTTTGATATAGATACGTCGACGCTAGGTTTGATATGCAAATCAGCGTGTTAGGATGCTCGTCCCCAAGGACCCTCTTTGCCATCTCTAGTACTTGCATATCTAGATTTTCAACCTCCTTCCACCGCCCTTGTTTAGCATACGTCGATGATAGGTTCGCTACACAAATCAGTGTACTAGGATGCTCGTCCCCAAGTACCCTCCTTCTCGAATCCGTAACTTGTATAAACAGCACTTCCGCTTCGTTATAATGTCCGTCCCTGTACAGTGCTTTTGCGTATTTCGATACTAGACCTACCCATTCAACATCCTCTGCTTCAGGAGATCTATACAACAAAGCGTACTTGGTATGCGGAAACAATCGTCTCCACTTACTCATATTCTGATAGTCGTCTTCTGGGAAGATCTGAAGTAGCCGTCTGATGGCATAATCGATCTGTTCCTGGAACTGATTCTGCTGCTGTAGCCACTCCTGCAATGCACAATGAACCAGTCGGTGCAAGTCCAATGCAGAATCTTCGGGCCGCCGAGTAACTAGCCCGTATTTACTGAGCAAATGTATAGCATTTTCTCGTTCTCGAATATTTTCGTCGTCGAAGAGATCAAACGGGATATCCTTGGAGGCCACGCAGGCTGCAAGTAACAAATAGTCTACTGCAAGCGCATTGCTACGGTGGATCTCGTCGAGGGAGATGAATAGCGTGGTAGCCACAGGATCCTTTGCTCTCAACCTCTGTAGTTTGTCACTTGATGGCCCGCTATCTTGATTGACATCGTAGTCATTATGCGTCTTCAATTTTGATTGGTAACCCTCAAGCGATATAGCTGTGGCATTGATATAAGCTGCCGCTTGGACAATCGCTAGCGGAAGATGTGAAAGCTCTTGCAGCAAAAGCCTTGCGTGCTGTTCCTCAGTTGAATCAAATTTTTTGTCTTTATTCAAGTAGTTCTTCAACATCTCCTTGGCGGCATCTGGTGTTAGCTCCTGCAGCTCTATAAGCGCGTGCGACGCCATTTGCTCAGCTAGGCTACTTTCAGTTGTTGTGAATACGACATGGCATCGCGTAGATTGAGGTAGGTAGGCAGTCAAACCCACTTCCCCTGCTGACGATATCCCACCAGCTCGTAGTGTGATATCTTCTAGGTTGTCAAAAATCAGCAAGCAATGTGCTGTGTCCTCCTTTTCGAGATGAGATTTTACAAGCTGCTTTGCGTCTACCTTTTCATCGTCCCATCCAGGAATATTGAGCCTTTGAGCAATGCTCTCGTACGACCGTTCGAGACTGTCCGTGTTGCTTGCATCCAACCAGAACACTGAGCAAGTCTTGATCTCTTCTCTTACTCTGTACGCAAGTTCTAGTGCCAGCTGTGATTTCCCTGTTCCGCCAAGTCCTACTATAGCCAATCTAGTCATAGTAGTAGTATGGTCGTTGCTAAACAAATATGCCTGTAGTGTGGCAAGCTGAGACTCTCGCCCGACAAATTGCTCGTTGCGGGAAAATGGAATGATGGAAGGTGTGCTGTTAGTTGCCTCTATTTCCGTTTGAAGTCTTCTCCATGCTTTATCCTTGCCTTCGCCATAGTTGATCTGCATGGTTACACCTAGAAGTCCAAAAAGGCAGTACACAATGTCTTCCTGTTCGGTGGTGACGCGATTGTCGGCCCAATGCATTCGCTCGTGTAGAGAGAATTGGTCCAAGGGATGATTCTGCAATACTGCGAGCGGAATTTTGGTGATTTCATGCACTAGTTGCTCCAGGGACCTCTTATCCCCTAGTCGCTGTTCCCTACAGGAGAAAAACTCCACCGATGCTGGCGCAATCAGCTCTTGTAGTGTCCAGCCTCGAGTAAACCACACGCTTGCCCTGAAGGATGCCTCCCAGCTGCCGCTCTGTATTGTGTCTGTTGCATTGGGTACATCCGATAGGAACACATAGCATTTAGCCGCTTTGCTGTACCAACGAAACATTGAGTTGATCGCTCGCGAGCGCTCAAGTCTGTCCCATCGTTTGATGCAGCACGTGTCAATCCAGAAGTACTGGAGTTGGTCTTGGGCCGCCTGTTGAGCGCAAAACATAAGCTTGCGATAGCCATCCCTTTTCTCTTTATAAGTCTCGCCAGCTATGTCTTCGAAGAGAATTTCCGATTCCTCCCATCTGTGTGAAAGAATAGCATATGGTGGGATAGGTTTCCCGTGAAAGTCTGTTAAGAGGAGTCGGTCAAACTGATCAAAATGAAGAAGTCGCATGACTGCAGCACAAGGAAACACATTCAAGGCAGTGTGGAGGTGATGATGCTGGCGGCAGGCTACGAGGGCAGGCTTTTGAAGCACAAAGCACACACGTGCTGACCTGGCTCAGCCCTGTAACCCCCACCTTTCGGTGAAGCGGGAAGCAAACAGTCGGCCCTACCACGACAGTGCAACTCCTTAGGAACACCAACACTACACACTGCTTCGTACAAGAACAAGAGAATAGCTTACCCAGATACACACTGTTAAGTCTCCTAGGCTGGGCTTGGTAAAAGAATCACACCTAAGCAAGCAATAGAAATATCACTAACGATGCTTGATAATGGTGTGCGAATAAGTGATGTTATGTCTTGACCTGTGGACTTGTGGAGTGAAGGAATGTTTGTAAGTGGTGGTTTGAGTAGCTGGTACTGTGATGAGATGGTGAGGTGGTAAGGGTGGTATGTTGTGTAAAATAGGAGTGAAGATGAAACGGAAAGCAGGATGCACGTATAGCAGAATGCGTATATGTAGTAGATAAACATAGCTTCTACCTTATTTTTTGATGGTAAAGTTCAGATTACTTGCATACATGGGATTTGGTGTTTAAATCGAATTCTGGACTTTCTTAATCTATCTTGCAGTAGTGTAATCTAAGTGATGTAATCTAATAGACATAAAATGAAACATGTGAAGCAAAGCTTTTTTTATCCAAATTCTACAAAAGGGTATTATTACTACTATTAAAAGGAATTAGGGTGAAGTATATTCGCCTCACTGAGTGACAGAAGGAAAGTATGGAGACACGAACACATCAAATAAGTGAATTAAAGACGCAAGGAAAAAGGTGGTATGTTATTCCTAGCAACACAGCCAACAACAGACGACGACCACACAACGACAACAAGGGATAGATAAAAGGGAAAGAAAAAAGAGATACACAAGGTCAGATAACCACCCTCGCCACAAAATCTCAAAACACCAGCTCATCCAAAGCCAGTGATGAGAAAAACCCCAAAAGGTGTGGGCCAAGGCAACTGACTGACTGTTGCAGACCAGTTTTCCGCCTTGGTACAAGATGGGACCCCTGCACCTCCTTTCCTTATAACCCCCCCCCCATCACCATCCTTTCCCTCTTTTCTAGCCCAACCACCCATTCCTACCACCTTTAACCTGATTTCCTCCCTGGGAGTTTTGCTCTCCTCTTTCCTTCCCTCTCTTCTTCGCCGAAGGGTATGAGAGAAAATAGAGTTTAAAAAGCAAAACGAGTGATTCGGCTATCTCACTCGTTGCAATAAAAAAAAAGCGTACATAAGGAATAAGCCCCCATTCCCGGGTTCGTTAAGATGGAGGGTAAAAAGATGCTTCTCTCAAAGATAGTGATGAAAGAAGATGCAAAAGGAGAATGAAATAACTTTGAGATGTGAAGGCACTAGGCCTCCATCCTCGGAGAAAGTAGAAAGGAAAAAGGGACGCCAACGCCAGTTCAAGGATAGGAAAAGGGCATCAATGCTAACCTCGTCTCGATCGCTAATGATAAATCAAGATTGTTCAAAAACAAGGAAAAATAACAAGTATTCAAAACACCAAGAGAGTCCTTGTCTCTTGTACGCTTTTCACTTAACGCGACGACATGTGACGCATGCTACCACTGGGCCGTCCAAGCGGCTGTGCGTACTTGGAGACGGGCACCATGTCAGAATGGAGGTCGTTGTTACCGTTGCCTTCGACATCGTCATCGTCTTCCAAGATGCGTGTTGGCACAACAGGCACGTCATGAGATCGGTGCTGTAGGCTTGACCGGTCTGGCGTTGTGCTGGCGCTGGCCATGGACATGGAAGTGCTGGACCTATGGCTTAGGTCTGGGGTGGGGGGGATGCTTGATCCGCGACCGGGGCGGAGCATGCTCTCCTCGTCACCATACTCGCTGCCAATGGTGGATTGGGTGCGGCCGCCGTGCGACATTTGTCCAACGCTGCTGCGACGATCACTGTGGTTGTCTTCCTCGATGTCAGCGCGCTGGGCGAGTTGAAGACCCTCTACAGCTGCGGCGCATTGCTCGGAAATGTTGCGGATGATGTATGCGATAGCATCGGTCTTGTCACGGAGGACACGGTCAGCAACATCGACCATGGACTGGTTCGAGAAGCGCTTGGAGTTGCGTGCAGGGCTATTGAAGAGACGGTGCTCCATGTCTGGTGAGACATCCTCGCCCTCGAGGTGCTTGCCTTGAGCAGTGCTTGCTCTTGACTCTTGGCGGCTGTCGACACCAGCTACGCCACGGATGGTACCAACCTCAGACTTGTCCTTGTTAGAACGGTGGGTAGGTGCCTGTGACTTGGTCTCGGCATCCTGGAAATGGTCCTCCTCGTCCTCTTCAGGTACATCATCGAAGCCAGCTTCCATGTAGTTTGACATGTCGTCCTGGTTGAGGGACTTGACAATGTGCTCCATGTGGTGGGTCTGGCCCTCGATGAGAGCACGGAGATGAAGCACAACACGTTGTGCCTCGTCACGTTGGCGGAGGATAGCAGAGTTGGTGTGCTGAAGAGCGCTGAGCTCCTTCTTGTTCTTCTTCCTCTCACGCTCGAGCTCCTCAGCAATCTCCTGCTGGAGGACAAGGGCCTCGAGAGCATCATCGCGCTGCTTCTCAGTACCAGATAGGCGGACAGTGAGTCTGGCAGCATCGTCCTTTTGCTGGTCAATGAGGCTGGTGAGACGGCGGTTCTCACGCTTGTGATTCTCAATCTTGACCTTGAGATCCTGGGTCTCCTTGGTAAGCTGCTCGGCAAAAGCCTGGAACTTGAGGAATTGCTGCTTCCAGCTCTCCAGCTCCTCGACCAAGAAGTTGTTTCGCTTGGTGACCTTGCCAAGCTCGCTGTCCATGCGCTGCTTGAGGTTGATGAAGTCGGTCCAAGCCTCTTGAGCGTCACGGGAGTATTGGTTGCGCTCGCGCACAATCTCGTTCAAGTGACGCATAGAGACCTTGGTCATGAGTGGCTTCTTGACGGAACCGCCAAAGATTGCCTTGACTCCAGTGTTTCGGCCCTTGAACAAAAAAAAAAGTAATGTTAGATGCAGGTGAGACGATGTTGAATGGTTTGGTACTTACAAGCTTCTCACACACATGGTCCATGACGGACATGACGGAATCCTGAGACCACCAGTCGGGGTCTTGGATGCTCTCAACCTCGCCGCGCATGACGATAATTTGGCCAGCAGGAATGAGCTTGCCACCACCGTAGGCTGACCGCAGATGCTGTGGCACGCCTGTTGGTGCGACCTCACCATTGAGAGCCTGGGTCAAGCGAGTAATCATCTTGGTCCTCTGGCCAGCCGAAAGAGCAGTTGGGGGACTTGATGTAAGCACAAAGTTACGGTCTAGATCGACAACCAAAGCATCAGTTGGGGCTGTGAAGAGCGAACGACACTCCGAGGTGACACCAAGAATGTACGGACCCGGCTCCTGGACCAGATCCTTGACGTGACGCGCATGAACTACGGGCACGTAGAGACCGCTCCATTCGTACACCCTTACGCAAAAGCGCACGGTCTCGGCTGCGACGGTGAGCATGGCGGGGTAGTGGCTCGTGAAGATGATGCGTCGGGTTGGTGACAAGGCAGCCTCGATGACGCCCACAATGTTGGGAATGGACAAACAGGTGAAAAGGGGCCACATGGCAAAGTTCTGGAAGCCGGTGGGTGAGGAAGGGAATTGGTAGCACAGAGCATAGTCCTTCATGTCGATGCGGACCAAGTCGTTCAGGCGTGGTGCGGGGAAACTGAGGATGCGAGACACCTCCTCAGCGTGGAACAGGTTGGTGGCCTTGTTCCAGTGAATCCACATGCCACGAAGGTAGTCGCCGAGCAAGTTGTACAAGGGATAGCGAGAGAGGAAGCTGAGGCAGTAGGGGATCCAGTAAGTCTCCTCTGGGTTGTCGTAGAAGTCGGGCTCGATTCGCTTTCGCAGGTCGCGAATGGTCTCGGCCCTCTTCTCGTCGGCACGCGACCAGACACGGAGCGCAATACCGTACAGAGTGTGAGAGGAATCCTGCTGCAGAACGAACGAGTGGTGTACACAGTGAGGCTGGCTTCTGCCAGTGCAAATCTCAACATCGTGAGGGAAGCATGCCTGCGATGTGGATTAGCAGACTGAAGTGACAATGAGGGTGTTGGGCATCGTGAGGCATTTGCAAACATACCCTCATGGCAGAGTGCAGAGACCTGGCAATCTCATTGTCCTGCTCGAGCCTGGGACTGCTTCCCAAGATCTCGGGCAGCCAGAAAGTTCCGACGGCACCCTTCATGTGGCCAATCTTGCCCTGTGCGGGAGCGGGAGCCTTGACCCATTGCGAAGGCTCTCGGCCAACACCACACACCATGTAGGCATGGGTGAGCGTCTTGGGGCTTCTAGCGCCCTGCTTGACGTTCAAAGTGGAAGGGAGTGGTTGGGTGATTCTCGAGTGGAGAGACGAGGTCCGGCTGGGGATGATGAGGCTGTGGTCGGCATTGTCTCTGGTTGGGGGGCGCTCGCTGGCGCCGGTGCGAGGGCGCAGGCTCAGAGAGGGAGCCATTGCGAGAATGTGGAGAGTTGGGTCCTTTCGAGTTGGGCGTGGGACGGAGAAGGAGAGAGAAGGAGGGAAGTGGCTGCAGATGGGGACCAGTGCAGCAGTACTATAATGACAGTGAAGGACTAGGATGAACACATTGGGGGAGATTGCGCCAGTGGAAACCGCAGAGCAGCAACGTCGGGGGTGAAGACGAGAGACTGGGTGGAGAGAGCGAGGGCGGAAGCGTAGAGCAGCTTTACGCGACCGAGGGATGGATTTGTGAGGTCAAAACCAGCTTGCTGCGGGTAGCAGAGGAGGGTGGCAGCCAGGGGGAAACATGGCTTTTGGGGACGGCCTGGCAAGGCGCGCGGACTGGATGCTGGGGGTAGGAGGGACGCGAGAGCTAGACATGGGTGGCTTTCGCAAGCGTCGGTTGGAGGAAATGAAAGAAGCTTCATCCCTGCCTGG